CTAAATAGACAACGAAACTTATCACCTTCCTACCTCAAATTTGGACACTTGCTCTCGTCATTAAGAGTCTTCTCTGCAACCATCGCTTCTACGGCTTTAGCCGGAGTTTCAAGCAGCTCGCTAGACCCTAATCGGCTCCGAAACATTGTCGTTACCTCATGTCGATATATAGCGGTAGTAACTTGTAAGATGTTGTCTTATTGCATATTATCACTTTTACTCATAATCTGAAACTAGATATATAAACAAAATCAGTGTTGAAAGTTGTTGGAAACCTCCATCGGCCACACCAATTATAAAAGGACTGATGGATGAAACCAAAGTTTGAACCATCCAATTTAGTTTATTTTAATGTGCTTTTCATCAAATTTAATCGAAAATATGAAACAAGTTTTTATATAACAAATCAGGTTAACAATTAGTTTCCATTTTCTCGCTGATGTGGGTTAACCAAATCTATTAGTTTCTTTGAGGGTTAAAAAAATCATCAAACGTGAAGAATTAAAAAGAAAAAACGATGAAGTGGGGAAACAATTTTGGCTTAAGCGCCTTAAATTTGTCAAAATTCCCACTACAAATATTAAAAAAAATTGGATCGTGCCAAAATCTGACAAAACTATCACTAATTTCACAGTATATAAACAAATAAATGAGTCTCCTCTCACGTTTTACCATAAAAACCATGCTTTGAGAAATAGCATCCCTATCTCTTTCAAGGTTTGAATTCTATCATTGCTTGAATTCCTCTGTAGGTACAATTGGTTGAATTTTTTGTTTAGAATTGGTTGAATTCCTCCGTAGTTACTACTGTCTTTTGTTCTGAATCTTAAAACATATAGTCTTTTGTTGAATTCCTTCTGATTTTCGGTCAGTCATGAACTTGTATTGCTCGTGTTCTTCTAAAGTAAACATTTAGAACTCTTAAGTATTGTAGATCATTTAGACTTTTGTATTAATTGTGACCAGATTTGATCAAAGTGAAAATTATACTTTTGACAGATTAATTTGTCT